ACTTGGCAGGGTTTGTGGCCTCACTGAGGGCCAGCACCCCTGCAGTTTTGACCCCACTGTGGTTTAACACATACACGTGAGATGAGGTTTGCTTTAAAATATTTGGGGTGCAGTTTCCCTCAAAGCCCTGTACCTATCTCCTGTAGTAGACCCCCACTAAGTCCCTAGGACCCCTACCCCCTTGTAATCTGACCCACAGGACTTCAATCTGCCCTTCTTCTGTCCCCATCTTTATTACGGAAGATGTATAATGCTCCTTAATGTATAGAGCAACGTTCCCCACTGCCTTTTTTCCCCAATCTGTCCTGCTTGTATAGCCTGTAGCCCTCAGTGCCCACTGCCCAATTATGGTAGGGTCCCACCAGGTTTCTGTTAGCCCAACCAGGTCAAAATTATTGTCTGCAAGCAGGATTGCAAGTTCCTTCTGCTTATTTCCCATATTCCTAGCATTAGTATAAAGACACCTAAGTCTTCCAATAGGTGCCCCTAGTACTCCCCTATCATGATGCTTAGTGGGCCTCTTAGTACTTACCTGGTCTATTCCAGCATTTGGTTCGTGGCTTGTCCTTCCTGGTTTCACCCTGTCTTCAACATCCTTGTCCCCCAACAAAGCTAATTTGTCCTTCCTGGTTTCACCCTGTCTTCAACATCCTTGTCCCCCCAACAAAGCTAGTTTAAAGCTCTGCCAACCTGTAAGGGAACAAAAGCAACCATGAAGGGACTCAAACCTGCAGTCTTCTGATCCTAAGTCAGATGCCTTATCCATTAGACCACATGGTCATATGCTTCAGCCAGTACCTGTGGAATAGGACCACACTACTGGCTCTTCCCAGCCCTCTTCATTCATCACCACCTCTTTCCACCATCCCCAGGGCAGAAAGACACCCGGGCTTGAGGGGAGCTGCCCAGCCACTCCCTGGGCTGGAACTTTCCTAGGTTCCCAAACTAGGGTTGCCAACCCTCCAGGATTGCCCTGGTGTCTCCAGGAATTAGCTATAATCTCTAGGAGATGGCTGAGAGCCAACTGGGAGATAAATGATAGTGCATTCATTAAAATAAATGTTGAATCCAATTTATACAGTAGTCCAGTGGGTTTTTAAAATGTAATAGTAATGTGCATTTGCTTTCCTGAGTACAGCACAGTGGATCCAGGGCTGGCCCACAATTTTTGTAGCCCCCTGCAAGAAATAGTTTTGGACCCCCCCCTACCCTGAAGAAGCCAGCGGTGGAGGGGTAGGGTGGGGGGTGGCAAGCAGCTGGATGTAGGGGGCCCCTTAGCTGTAGAGCCCCTTGCGTCCATAGGTTTCACTATATCAAAAGCCTTGCAGAATAGGATGGGCCGGCCCTGAGTAGATTAGTCATTAATGTCATTACATCATATGATAAAACTCCTGGAATAGATTCAACCGGAGTTGGCAACCCTATCCCAAACTGCGTTTTGAATCTTGAACGCCCTACTGGGGATAATCCTGGACTACAAGTATGGTGTCCTGATGGGAACCAAATTGCTGGTAGTACCTAGTAAGGTGTCCCTGCTGGGACAATCTTCTTCAACCGTTCAGGCAGAGCTCCACGTAGCACACTCAGGAGGTAAGTGCCCTTCAAACTGACTGTTACAGAGCTTTACAAAAAAGACTTGACATTTGGCAGACTGTGGCCTTCAAACCAAGGATTTGCTTTTTGCTGCTCCTGGGAAAGTCTGACCACAGCCATACAGGGTATAAACCTACGAAAAAAATTCTGCTTCATCACTTTCAGGAGACACTTCTTGGAGCTGCACAAGCCACTTCCACTCTGGCCTTTCCGAACCTTTGCCAGTTTAACTTTATAATGGCCTTCTAAAGAAATGTCCTAGGTGCAGTGTATTATGGAAGCAGAGCCCTGTAACTGCCACCAGTCCCTCACCCTGCAGGACATTTTCATGTATATTTATGCTCCTTCCATAAATTAGTTTAAGCCTCTTCCTGCTCTCAAAAGGAATCTGTAAATACCCCAAAGAGCAGCTTACAGTAAGTTATACTGCACTGGCACCCGCCATTTATACACCAGAACTAGCAAGTGCCACGCTTGGAAACGTTTGCTGAAATTCAGAATGATTCAAAAGTAAGAAAGCAAAATATCTTTTCACCGGCAGGGACAGCATGACACTCGGATGTGCTGATTTCTGGTTATAATCAATAGAAAACCGTGTGAGGTTTCTGTTAAGGTTTTGCACCAGAAAAAAATTCCACACACAATATTTTGAGCAGCTCGAAGGAGAAAGTTAAAATCTCCTTCAGGGGAAGAAGGGACAGTCCATTTTTGCTGCTGCTTAGGTGGTACAGAGCCCACTTTCTGTATGGCTGGGTTGGTTTTCAGGATAAGAGGGAACTTATTTACGCAGATCTGCCAAAAGAAAAAGACAACAAATATTTCTGTGTTTTAAATAATGGCTGTGAGCCATTCAGCAGAAACCCACAGCACTCCCTGCTACTGCAGCAGCCATTTCCCACCAGACCCTGCCCAGTATGTCACAGAAAAAAACATTTTAGCTAAAAGGGGAAAAAAAAGATGAAGAAAAATAGAAGTTCTGAGTGAGAGTCACTTCCCTTCCTGCCTTCCTTGAGGGAAGTGAGGCACATAAGAAGCTAACGGAAGACAAACCCTGATCATAACAAAACCAGCTACAGAAACGCTGTTTCACTGCCAAGTCCTAGAAAAGACACCTCCGAAAAGCATAACAAAGGGACTTTTCCTGGCTAGAGGGTCAAGGATTCATCAGACGGAGCAGGGCAGCAGAACAATGATGATCTTCCCGGTGCTTGGCTGGATGCTCCTTCCAGGTAAGGTGCAACGATCCCTGTAGGGCCCAGCAGAAACACAGCCACTGCCGGCCTTCTTCAGCCCTCTCAGACCCGGTCTGCATGTAGTGTTGCAAAGCGGTGGCTGGCACTGCAGCAGGGACTGCAGGACGTGTCTTGCAGGCTTCCAGTAAGTTTGTAGGATCTCCCAGGGCACTGCCTCTGGAGCAGGGTGTGCTGTGCCCCTTCCTCAGGGTAAATCTCCCCTTGAGCTCTTTGTCAGGGTAGAGCATATTTGCACTGTTTATGCAGGGAGCAGAGCTGTTTGTTCAGGTGTCTTCCAAAAAAGCCCCTGATGATAAAGCTATGGCAAACTGAGACTTTATATTTGCAAGTCCCCAAAAACTTCCCAACTCCAATGGAGCAGAAGAGGGAGTCACAGGCAGGATCTCTCTCGTTTTGGCAATGCAGGCCACTCGCACAGTCTCACGGTTTATTCTCCAGGTTCAGCTGAGTTCACGGGCATTTTGTCCTGGTGGTAATGCCCATTACCCAGTACACTGCCTGACAGCCCATCCCCACCTCATCTCTTCCTCCCCACCCAGGAGAAGGGGAAGTAGTGTCCACGTCTATGCGGCTTGCTAATTAGAAGATAAAAAAATCCACTAGCTGGGGTCTCCTGCCTTGCGTTAGGCAAGTCTCCCCATCGTCCAACAGCCTGAGC